AACGCAACAGCAGAAAATCGAACGAGGACGCTAACCAAAAGCCTTCTAATTCACAGACAGCTTTGGTATTTGCAGCCATTTTAGTCACCTGCTTGGCTTTTGGTAACTCACGGAAGCTGGGTTTTCCCTCCTCCATCTCCAGCTCTAGTCTTTAGGCTAGGGGCTCGCACATATAAGAGTGCAGTAGAGAAAGGAATGAATGAGAAAAACCAGCAGGCCACACCCCCTCTTCCCTTTCTCCTTCCGCGTGAGGTAGCCATGTCCTAGATTCAGACCATACTGGTTAATCTTTGTCAACTTGACTTAGAGTCATCTGGCAAGAGAGAATCTCAGTTGATCGGTTGCCTCCATCAGAAGCGTGTGAGCGAGTCAGGGGGGGCATTTTTTTTGTTAATGATTCATGTAAGAGGGCCCAGCCCATTGTGGGAGATACTATCTGCTAGGCAGGTACGCGGTCCTAGGCTGTATAAGAAAGCAGGCTGAGCCGGCCATGGGGAGCAGGACAGTAAGCACAGGCCCCCCAGCCCACGGCCTCTGCATCCCCTTCCTGCCTCCAGATTCTTCCTACATTGGCTTCTGCTGGTGATGCCAAATAAACTCGGTTTTGGTCAGTGTTTTTTTGCTTGTTTGTTTGTTTTTGTTTTGTTTTATCACAGCAGCAGACAGGGTAGGGCGCTCCCACCTACACAGTTGAGAGCTGCTACCTCACACTAGCGGCACGTGCCGTAGCCGGCACATTTCTGGCCCATCTCAGGCCACTGTCCAGTTCCCCAATCGCAATGTGTGCGAGTGTCACTCATTCTATGGGGAGAACAGCAGAAAATCAGGTTCTGGGAGAAGGAGGAAGAAACAGACTGGCAATCTACAGGTTAGCTGTGGTTGTTACGCTTAGCTGGGAGTGGAAGGCTGGAATCTGGCTGGGCACACACGGGGGAATGAATGTCATAACCTCACCGTACAGGCCAAAGAGATATGCACTTGGCATTCACGTAGACTTGGGTTGAGAATCCACAGCCTAGGGATGATATTGGCCTCGGTTTCATCCTCTGTAAAATGGAGGTTGCTTGAAAACGCTCCTCCTACCCAATGTGGAGATTTCAGTACACTAAGCAGGGCAGGGCAAACTGAACTAAGAGGGCATCGGTCACACAGGCTCTGCTGTGGCCCTGGTGTGGCATCTCTGAGGACCCTGGATAGGGGAAGGGAGAGAAGACAAAGATTCAAGTCTCCCTGGACCCAGAGTCTTGGTGGAGGTGGGAGAACCCAGCGAGCCACTCCGCTTCCCCAAAGAAAGTTCTGAGCCCCTGGAGTTGTGGTGGCACAGGAGGCGAAACTCTCCCCCAGACACACCTGTGCCTTTGAGAGACCCCGGCTCAGTCTTTGGTGATGACAGCTGAGGTTAGACGGTGGAAGGCTGGGAAAGGAGGGGCTTAGGTGTCCCAGGAGAGGAAGATTCCCGGTCTCATGGCAGAGGAACAGAAACACACTTGGCAGCCGGTCCTCGTCCTGCCAGTGCCTGTGAGGCTTCAAGCACTGTTTCTTCCTTCAGGAGGCCCCAGCCTCTAGAATGCAGGATGATGTCATCTTCTCCCTTCACTGTCTGTTTTGAAGATTAATTGTGGCATTTCCTGTGTGGAAGTTTTAAGTAGATGACAGGCAGGTGAGACAATATTTGCTCTGGGTCCAGTATCCAACATCCTAACACACATACACACACACACACACACACACACACACACTCACATACGCTCTCACACACTCACACAAAAACACACACCCATAAACACACTCATATACACACACATACAATCACACACTGTCAGACATACATTCACATACATTTACACACTCACACAAACATATACTCATACACATAAATACACACACACACACAGGGTCTCTGCTTCTCTGGAAGAACCAGTTTGGGCTTCCTCCCTTCCTGCAGCCTCTCCCCAGACTTGGGGAAGTGTGACCCCTTGTTTTGGACTGGTTGACGATGATGACCTGACCTGCGGTGTTTACTGATCACTGTACCCACACTTCATCTTACTTCTCAGCAGGTGGTGGCTCTGTCAGCAGGGCTAGCATCTGCCTCACTTCCCCCAAACAGAAATCTGGCCTGGCCCAGGGATGCAGCAAGAGCCCAGAAAAGGATGCCAGATGGTACAGAGGGCTACAAGTAAGGTCTGGGAGATGTCATCCCTATGTGGTTATTTTAAGAGCTCCACATCCCCCTGGCTGTGTGACCTGGGGAACGTGGCTTCACCTCTCTGGACTGTGAAGACTGAGGTGATCGATAAAAAACGATGAGCTGGGCGTGGTGACACAGAGCTATAACCCCAGCGCTCAGAAGGCTGAGGCAGGGAGATGTCCAATTGCAGACCGGTTGGAACCACATAGGAAGACTTGAACCCATACAAACAAACAAAAACCCTGCCTAACTAGGGAGGGACTGGTATGTGAGCAGTATACCAGTGCCCCGTAAATGTGAGCCGAACGTCTAGTTACAGAGAGCATGCAGGAGGCGTGTACCTCAGTTCTCCTCCTCACCAGTTTGTGGGGATGATTAGATGAGCTGAAAGGTAAGTTCAAAGCACCAAGGGCAGAAGTTGGTACCTAGTGAGAGCCCTGTGAAGCTAAGTGTTACTATTTCTGCACCCTGACCACAGAGAATCGAGGGGCTGGGCTGCCATTGGGGTGGTAAAAGGCTGGTCTAGCACACACCAACCCTTGAGTTCCTTTTCCAGACCCCTGTAATCACAGCACTTGAGGAGGTTGAGGTAAGAAGGGTATCGGGAGGCAGAGACAGGTGGATCTCTGTGAGTTCGAGGCCAGCCTGGTCTACAGAGTGAGTTCCAGGACAGGCTCCAAAGCTACATAAAAACTCTGTCTTGAAAAACCAAAAAGAAGAAAGGAAGAAAGAAAGGGAGAAAGGAAGGAAAAGTCAGAGTTCAAGACCACCATCTGCTATGTAAGGAGTTCAAGGCTTGCCTGGGCTACTTGCGATGAGAGCAAGGGAGAGAGAGGCACAGACCACGACGGAGGATCACTCCCCACCACAGTCAAATGTCCCCCATCCCCGGTCTTCTAGAAGTTTTCAATGAAGTTGTGCAGAGACCTGGTGGGGGGAAGCCATATAGAACACACCCTCAAGCACGCTCATAAACCAGCACAGCCAAGTGGCACGTAAACACGCACCACCCCCACCCAAATCCACACAGGTTCAGCCAGAGACAGCACCTCCCCTTGCCCACTCCATCCCACCCACTCAGGAGCCCCACCCTAGCCCCCACCTGGTCCCAGGCAGGGCCAGATTTCTCCCTGTTCATCATCCAGGGTGACTCTCCTTACTCAGCCCCTCCCAGCTGCAGCCTGTGCCCAGCCATGACGTCAGCTTAAGGTTTCTGGCACCATGATCTCATCACACATGGCGTCAAGGCCACCCAGTAGTAAGGGGACACATCATGAATGACAGGATAGGGGACCCCTCTCTCCACTGGAGCAGTAGTGGAGGGCAGGGGCCCCAGTCCACCCGCTCTGTACAGATCTGAGATTGGAGACAATCATCTTTCCCACCAGGGCTCCTGACATCCCACATGTGTGTGCCAGGGCCAGCTCTCCACCTATCCCCCCCTGGAAAATGGGGTATGGTAACAAAGACACTGCTGTGAACCTTCCCTGCCATGCCTGCAGTGGCTCAGGACACTGAATGACGCTCCAGAATCACTCTGTTCTGTATTCTTATTTTGAGTAAACTGCCTCATACCAGAACAGCTGCTCAGCAAAGTGACTTCTCAACCCGTGACTCAAATTCCTCAACACCCCCACCCCACAAAGAAAGCACAGCTTGGGACCCCTACACCCACAAAGGGAAAATGACGTAGCCCAAGCTGCACACCTGTTGAGGAAAAGGGCAAAGACTGGAAGGAACCCAACTCAAGGCTAAAATGGGACAGTAGTAGGGCCATTAGCTGATGGGCGGTGTGGGAGGCTGCGCGGGCTAATGTTTATGAAGAGCTTAAGAGCGAGCATTATGCAACTGATAAGTTGAAAGTTGAAAGCTGAAGAGCAGAGATCCTCCTACCAAGCCCGTGAGGTCATGCATTCCTGATGACGCATCCCTAAGTAGGCTCCTCTCCTGCCCTTTCTGCAGGTGGGGAATGGCAGCTCAGGCATGCCTGGGAGTAATGTTACCCCTGAGCAAGACTCTTCCCCTGATCGAACGTCATCCAGACTCCTCCTCAGAGGGAGGGCCAGGCTTGCATTGTCTTCACCTAGGTGTAACGAGAACACAAACCCCACTGTTCCTTATAAGACCGCCCCTTTACCCCCATGCTGGATCGATTGCTTTTCCTCCACTAGTTTTCAAGTGAGGTCTGGCCACCCCAGCCTATCCTTAGAGGAATCCAGTTAGGGCGGTTTATCCAGAATTCCTCAGACGTCTGGATCCCCCTCAGTCATTTCCACACAACGACCCCCATTCTGCCTCCTGGCAGTGTTGGGTGTAGAGCCCAATTTCTTCTTTTGTTCCCAAGACTTTCCTATCCCAATAGACGCTCTGCCTGACAATGTTTATTTTTTTCATAACTTAACAAGTGTCATTTAAAAAAATAGTGACGTGTTGTTGTTGTTAGTCACTCTCCGAAGTCCGAGGTGCCTTTGGCCATACTGTAAGTGGGAATTCTATCTACTTTTCAACCCAAAAGGCCATTGTCTCTCTTCTACTGTAGGTCCCCAGGGTGGGAGGCAAGATAGAACATGTTCTGGGGATGGTATTTCCAGAGTATGACCTGAACACTCAGCCAGGCAGAGGGTTATTATTAGTCTGGCTTTACCGCCCTCTGGGACACTAGTGCCTGGAGTGGACGCTGCTGGAGGCAGAGGGAGGGCGGGGCGGAGCTGAGTTCGGGGAGGAGAGAGTGCGGGAGAGGCTGGCTGGACTCGGACGCCACGGCCCCACCCAGCTCCCCACCCCCTCCCGGAGCACAGCGGATTCTCAGGGGCTGGTTCATCACCTTCGAATACTCCTGTGACAGGAGGCGCTTGCAAAACCCGCCCCCAGCCCCCAGCAGCAAATAAATAGAAGGCTCTTCGACCAGAAGCCAGGAGAAGTTTCTAGGCGCTAGTCCCTGAGGTTTATTAAGCTCCTGGCTTTGCTCAAGACCTCAGCAGCGGCCCTGGCTGGGAGCCTGGGAAGTCTGGGAGGCGGGTGACTTGCTGATAGCCTGCCTGGTGAGGTGGGACAGACAGATGCCCTCTGGGATCCTGCTGGGCCTGCTCAGTGGTTCACGTTTGTGAGCCAGGACCTCAGCTCCCTTCCGGGCAGCGGATGGTTGGGCTTGTGGCTAACAGGAGATCAGCATTTTCTGAAGTGGAGGACTAAACTTTGAAAACCATCTCAAGCCACATCACCTTACTGTGTGACCTTGGGTAGGTGGCTCTGTCTCTCTGAGCCTCTATTTCCCCCTCAGAGCTCAGCAGACACCATGGCTGATGGGCAGTTGCCTTTCCCGTGCTCCTACCCAAGCCGCTTGCGCAGAGACCCCTTCCGGGACTCACCGCTCTCTTCCCGCCTGCTGGACGATGGCTTTGGCATGGACCCCTTCCCAGACGACTTGACAGCCCCTTGGCCTGAGTGGGCTTTGCCTCGGCTCTCATCTGCGTGGCCCGGAACCCTAAGATCCGGCATGGTACCTCGGGGGCCTACAGCCACAGCCAGGTTTGGAGTGCCTGCAGAGGGCAGGAGCCCCCCACCCTTCCCCGGAGAGCCCTGGAAAGTGTGTGTCAATGTGCACAGCTTCAAGCCTGAAGAGCTGATGGTAAAGACCAAGGATGGATACGTAGAGGTGTCAGGTGAGTGAGGGGTAGACAGGCCAGTGTGTGTGTGTGTGTGTGTGTGTGTGTGTGTAGTTCCAAAGGGAACTTCAGTAGAAGGTCCTGTGACGGACAACGTGGCACAGGTGACCTCAGGTCTCAGGAATGCAGCCCACAATGTTATCATCTGGGACAAGTGCTTCTCAATGGGTGACAGAAAGAGACTGAGTGTGACCCAGTAGCTAGGGTCCTCAGGGCATGGTCCCCGGCTGAATGCGGACTCGCCATGCTATCAACAGACAGGAAACTGAGGCTGGATGGTCATGGCAGCAATACAGCTGCTAACCTTGCTGAAGAGCTGTCTCCCTAGTACCAGAACCCAGGAACCCAGCATCCTGTATTGTGTCAATACAGCCAGAGGAGGGTGGCAGTATTAACTGTCCACCTGTCCCTTTTGGAATTAAGAAATGGAGACCCAGAGAGGTTAGCATAATTTGCTCAAGGTAGCAAAGGGTTCCAACCCAGGCTGCCTTGGGAATTGAGGTACAGAAGGAATCTATCTAGCCATTTATTTATTTACTTATCTATTTGAACCAAGTTTCTAAGCTGAATTAAAATCTTTCAATTAGAAACACACAAAATAACCCAAGCAGCAAGAGCAGAGCGAGAAAACCCACTGAAACACCAATGCCCCTCTGCCCCTTATCCCACGACTATCTATCCACTCCCATCCTGCAGCTGAGGAGGCCTTGTCCCAGGTCATACAGTGAGTCAGCAAAAGGACCAGAGCAGAGCTTAGGCCTGGCCGCCACAGCGTTAGGCCCAGGGCTTTCCCTACCCCATTGCACTGTGGGAGAAAGAATACGCTGGGGGGGTGGGGGGAGGGGGGGAGACTGAGGAGACAGGAAGCCTGGCCCCTGGTGAGCTGGGTCTCAGCTTTCTTCTTCCTCCCTTCCAATTAACAGGCCATTAAAAAGGGCTTGTTCCTGGCCGGGGCCTGAAGCCAGAAGATCAATAGCAAGCCTGCCACAAACGCCAGCTGGGCAGGGACAAGCCCCAGCAGTGTTGGAGGGGCCAGAGTGGAGGCTAAAGTCACCTGGAGTAGAATTGTAAACATCAAAGGCTGTGACTGTGGGTATGGTGGAGCAGGCACACTGGGGCTCGTGCTGACGTGGGTGTGGGCTCTGCACTGGCTGGCGAGCCAACATTAGCTCTGCTGCTCGCTAACCAACAAGACGGGCCATTATTTCTTCATCTGTCTTGTTCATTTTCTGGACACCGAGGTCCCCATGGGTCCTCAGGAAGGGTGGTGGTAGCCTCCACGGATATTAACAGTTTGTTTTTGTAAGCAGTGGTACAGTGGTGGTGGCCATGGTGTGGGCATGTGGGGAGGTCCCAGCCCAACTGCGAGGCAGCCAAATGGATACCGACTAGAGCCTTAGTTTCCCTGTCTGGCAATGGGAATTATAGTCCTTCCTTTACACGAGGCTAGTGGCAAGATGCAGTAAATGCAGACGATAAATCCAGAACATCTGTAAAATGGAGTTAGTAGCGCATCCTGCAAACTGAGGTCATCACTCCCCACCCTTGTTCAGTTTTAATTACGGTTGTTTAATGCAGAGGCTTCCAGGCCACCCACACCCTGCAGTTTTTTCTTCATCCTCATCTGAAGGTACCCCTTAACAGGGGGAGTGTGGCAGCCACAGGCTGAGCTCTCAGACAGGAACCTTAGAGATCCAGAGGCTTGGGGGTGGATCACCGAGCCTTACTGTCTCTGTCTGTGAAATGGGAACACTGGAACTAAGACAAAGATCTAAACCCTGTATTTGTGCAGCTAGGTGTGGCCCAGCTATTGAGACTCCAAACCCAGCAAGGGTGCCTGCAAAAGCTTCCCTGAAAGGGGTTTAAGGGCTAAAGTCTGGGGCTCCCTGCAAAAGCAGCTTCTAAGGGGTGTCCTATCTACATCATGTAGTAAGAACCTGTTCTCCCACAACCAATTCAAGCCAGACCTTTGCTCGCTGTCCTCCTGAGCTGGCTTACTGGATGGTTATTCACGATGCTCTTTTTAGGAGTGTGGGTAGGTTTGTAGCACCAACCTTGCCCATTTTACAGATAGTGAAACTGAGGCCTACAGAGGCTAACTCACCCAGCACAACCAACTACCTGCTTCCTCTCTGGCAGAATATACTATTTAAAGCCAGGCCCTGCCTGGAGGCTCACTGGCTGGCTCTAGTTCTGACTGTGAAGCTCTTTAGACAGACCTCTTACTCCCAACCCCTGAACTCGGCTCAATGCTGCCTCACAAAGAAGGGGGCTAGGTCAGATTTGCCTGGTCACCTGCTTCCGAGTGTCTAGGGAATGGATGAAAGGTTATTCTGAATTGTAGATGATACTGGATAAGCCAGAATCATGAGTAAGCCTCTGCCTCATTGAAGGCCTTCTCAGAGCCTTCCCTTGTCCGAGCAGTCTACAGATGTGAGAGCCAGCCCTGTGTTATCTATGTAGGAATACCCTGTTCCAGGGAAGTGTTTGGGGAAATGTGGGTTCATGATTTCCATCACGAATCACCTTCCACCGCTACCCCTGCCCAGCCAAGAATGATCCCTTTGAGGGCTTCTGGGCCAGGCCCTGGTTAAGGAAAGCAGGACCTTGCTTGATGTCACACACTCCATCCCAGAGCAGGGCAGCCAGGGTTCTTTAGGGCACCCGAGAAACATCACAGCTGCAAACCTCTTCTGCTCCAGGATTGGCTGAGGTCGTCATTGTCTTCCTTCTGGGTACAGAAATAAACCAATCTGATGGTATGAGATGTAAGTTAGTAAATGAGGACCTGCTGGTTTAACATCAGCTGCCCAATAACACGCAAACGAATGCCAGGATGACCCGCCTCTTCCAACTGGTCCTGCACCACAGGCCCTCATTACGGAAATCTTGGAGGCTTTCCTGCTCAGAGACCCTCCCTCCCTCCCCCTAACCCGCACCCCTTTTCAGAACATGGGCAGCATCCTTAGACTTCTGAGGAGTCCCATTTCCCTAAACGTCAAAGTGAGTGATAAGGCTCACCTGTAACCTGTGCAGCTTGCACGGGCTGTGTGGCTCATTCCACTTCTTCCAGGCCTTCAGTAACACAGTTTTCAGGACATTCTAGAGAAGCATGAACTGAGACTCAGAGAAGGGGTAGAGCCCTGTCAGGAAACGTCTGAGCAGGGATCGGCGTCTGGCTTCTGGGGACTCTGCCACACTTTGCTCTGGCACGTTTTAGCTTCAGGCACATCACTTGATCAGGCATGTTCAGAGTGGTGTGGCCATAGAATTAGGGATCCTCTCTGAATTTCAGTTTCTCTATCCCAAGATGGAAATGCCTGACCTACCAAATGTTACAGCCAAGCCCCGACTCCCTGAAACTGGCCCGCTGTTAGGCAAAATCGTCTCGCACAATTTTGACTTTATTACATAGCGTCGACTATCTGGTGCTATTTACTAAGCAAATGTAAAACAGAGGGTTAGACAGAGTGGCAGAGTGAATTCAGAGGCTGCAGGTTGGTACTGTCTGTGTGAGCTGGGGGTTAGTGTTCCATCTTCACCGTTTGCCTTCAGCACTTACCCAGGCCTGCAGAAGGAGAGCAGAAGAGCTGAGTCAGAGGTCCTGGCCTGCCCCCAGTGGCAGCAGGCTCCTCTGAGGCCCTGGCCTCAGGGAGAGGACCAGAGAACACAGTGCTCTTGTGGCCACAGGCGCAGAGTAGATGATTGTCACAGAGTTGAACAGAATAGTCTTTCCGGTTGACAGCACATACACAGAATAGAGTTCTGGTCTCCAGACACTGCAACTTCAAAGTGGATTCTGGTCAGTATTTCCTCACCATCTCAGGAGGACAAATTGTATGGTTTTTCCTAAGGACCATAGAGCAGTATAGGTTAGGCCTTAGGTCTTAAGCTTGGCTCAAATCCCAGAAATCATTGGGTTTGGTATGAAGATAAAGTTGCAAGGATTTTTAGTGCAGAGAGAGGCTCGCCGGTGCTGAAAGGTAAGAGCCTGGCTAAGGAAGCCTGCAGTGGAATATGATGCAGCCATTAAAAACCAGGAGATCCTCAGTTCTAGTCCTCAACACTACATAAAAGCTGGCCACAGCAGCCTGAGCACCGGGGAGGTAGAGGCAGGAGTGGTCCAGGTACGTTCTGGCCAGCCAGCATAAGCCATTGGGTGAGCTCCGGGTTCCGTGAGACACCCTGTCTCAAAATCGAAGGTGGAGGCCCCCACAAGATGATGATGGTGCAGCAGGTAAAAGGCACCTGTTCCCAAGCCTGACTATCTAAGTCCGGTTCCTGTAAGCTGTTCTCCGATTTCCAAGGCACACGATCCATACCAAGCACACAAAATTAATAAGTTAATTTAAAAGGCAATAACATAGTAAGGTGGGTAAGCAATTGAGAAAGATATTCAACATTGCTCTGTGTCCCCCAATCCTCCCCCACCCCACACAAAATCATGCTGTTGAAGAGTATTTGGGGAAAATGGACAAGTAATCATAAATTCTCAGCCAGAGGAGAACTGATTTCCAGGCGGCGTATAGAATGATCCCTTTGGTACGATGTGTGATGCATGGCTGTATTCTAGAAAATCCATAAGTTTTTAAGAAGCATTTTCTATGTCTGGAGATGTAAACACTTTATTCATGACTGCTGTGGGGGTGGAGAGATGGGACTATGGGTAATTGTGGTTTTTTTTTTTTTCCTGTAAATTTATTTCCTACACTTTCTGACATACATATGCATTATCTTGTAATCAGAAAAGGTTATTAAAGGAATGATTAATGGTACAAAGTATTACTAATGCAATCACCTGTAAATGATGAGTTTAAGACAATTTGGACCTCCACAAGATGCTGCAATCCCCCTGGGTATTTATAGTGTGTCTTCTGAAGCTTGCCCGGAAGGCCTCCTCAGTGTGAATGTGGAGCCTGGGCTCTGGAATGCGACCTCAAAAAGGAGTGGAGTGTGCAAAGGACAGGTGCTGACAGGTGGGCCCAGCCAAGCACTAATCCTGTTTGTTTAAAGAGAAATTGAAGACACCTACTTTCAAAGAAGCCAAAGAATGAGGAGAGTTGAGAGGATCAGGAGTTGCTGTGTGAATTGCAGCATAAAAGCCAGCTTGGTCTGAAGCCCTTCTTGTAATTTCATCTTCATCTCCATAATTGGGAGAAGGAGCCCCTAAGGGGCGTGGCTGGTAGAATTGGCTCTCTGAAGAGAGGCCCCTTAGGAGAGGTGGGAAGCATTAATTCCAGGCTGGTGTAGAAGGCTCCATACAAATCCAAGGGCAGAGGGGCAGGAGGCCAGAGCATTTTGCACTGACCCCATGAGTAAAGGCCAGAGCAGCCATGAACCTTCTGGGTGACCTTGAACCCACTCTGAGACCTTAGTTAGTACATCAGTTACAACGGGAGAAAGAGCATGATCTGTAGAGCCAGGGAAGGGTTCTGTGCTGGGCGGCTTTGTCTCTCCTTTCCCTTACTGATCCATCAGCAATGGTAGCTCCTGGGACCTTCTGGTCAGCTAGGAGGTAGAAGTCTGGAAGCTAGGGAACCGGAGTCCCAATTTAACGGTTGTCAACAAAACATCGTCAATGTCCTCTCTCCTGCCCATCATATTAGCTTATCTCCCACCAGCCTGGGAGGGTGGGCTTGAGTCTGCATGCCAAGCAAAGCCTGAACTCCACACCACTCCTAAGCTACCAAAGAAGGCAAGAATTCAGAATCTGAATTCAAGCCCAAATCCTGAATGAGACCCAAGGGACAGACACAGATTCTAACGCATGGCAATGCTTCTGTCTTCCAGGCAAACACGAAGAAAAGCAGCAAGAAGGTGGAATTGTCTCCAAGAACTTCACCAAGAAAATTCAGTGAGTACCCTTGCAGGGACTGAGGGTGGGACTCAACTCTGGGGCCCTGATTTCTTGGGAGATACACCCAGGCAAGGAATTGAACTCTCATACCTCAAGGGGAGAGGCTGTCATAATAAACCTGGAACAGGGGCCCTCAAATGAGGGGGGTAGATTATGATCTCATCGGCTCAGTACCCTGTGAGGAGAGCATTGACCCCAGCAGAGAACAGAGATGCAAAATTGATTCATCCATCTTACCCTGAGCGCTGGAATGCTCACCCACCCAGGAGGCAGACAGGAGGGTACCAATCACCGCCAAAGACCCACTTACCTCTGGGCTCCTTGTGGTTGCTCTAATAAGGTCCTGTGTATGTGTGTGTGTGTGTGTGTGTGTGTGTGTGTGTGTCCCATGTGCATGTAGGCATGTGTAGTGCATGCACATGTATGAGTGCTGTAGGGTATATGGACTCTTGTACTCACAATAGAGGCTGGAGGCAGATGTCCAGTACCCTTTCCCCATGAGACAGGGTCTCTCACTGAACCTAGAGCTGGGCTGGTAGCCAGAAAGCCCACACTAATCCCCCTGCCTCTCTCTCCCACAGTACTGGGGTCACAAGCATACATTGCCACTCTTGGTTTTATCATGGGTGCTGGGAATTTGAACTCATACCCTCATGTGCCCAGCCAGCAGTCTCCATGGCCCCTCTAATAAGCCCCTCTAATAAGCTACCTTCCACTACAGCTAAGATACTATCTCTGTGCCTGAAAATGTTGACTCAAACTGTCGTCTGGTTTCCTGGTGTCACTCTGGCCCACTGTGGAGGTTTGGAGGCTGAGACACCTCTCTAGGGGAAGGACAAGTTTGACTTAAGGGAGGGATTCTTGTTAGCGTTGGTCTTATGAGAGCAGTAAGCAGGCAACCGAGCTGAGCCGATGAAGCATGGCCACATCCCCTAACTGGCAGTCTCCGTAGGGTGAGAAGGCTCAGTGGAGGATGCTGGCTGTATTAGAGGCTCTGGTGCCTGTCACAAACCTTTTCTCCAATCAACATCACTCACTGGTGTATTTTTGCCTCTGAGGTCTTTCACAGCCATCGCCAACTTGGCCTCCATAGTGAAGAAGATGCATTGCAAGCCCTCCGTATATTCTGGAGGAAGTAAATCTCCAGTAGATTAAAGGGCAAGGCTAAGGTCTATAGTAAGGATTTTTCACTGACCCCAAACAGGTCTGTATCCTCCTCTGATAAAGGGATACTGCTCCAGTATCCTTGAAGGCAATAACAGATGGTTAGGGGGCCTCGAACAGGCAGTTCGTTGCCTAGATTCCCGTGATGGTGTGTGAGCTCCATCCACACTAGCCCTGGCAAAGACATCCTGTAGCAGAGAGACTGCACCAGCTGAATTCTGAGATTTTTCAGCCTCAGGATCTCAGAACGCATGTGCACTTTCCTGACCCTAGCCCCAGCATCTCCCCCTCCCCCCCACACACATACAAGGTTCTCGGAAACCCATGGAAACCTCCCGATAAGGCAAATACCAACCAGTGTCTTCTTATACTCACTGGTTTGCCAGAATCTGTGACCTTCACCCCTCCCCAGCTCAGTCTCTAGATCAAACAGAACTGAGAGAGGAGGGAGGGAGGGAGGGCACTGATGTCCCTCCTTTCGGAGGCTCACACCCTGGCTCAGCACAGAATCACAAACCAGAGAAGAGCCTAGAAAAAAGCCAGCAGGGAACATGGTGGGTCTTTAAAACCATGCAGGGTGTGGGGAGTGGTGCGTGGGGTAAGAGCTTCTGCTCTGTAAGCTCGAGGACAGGACACGGGTTTGAATCTGCAGTACCCATGTACAGAGCTGACCATGGCTGTACACGCTTGTAACCCTGGCATGGTGGGGTAGAGGAGGGTAGATCCTGGGTGGTCACTGGCCTGCCAGCCCAGCTGAAATGGTGAGAGACCCTGCCTCGAGGGACAAGGCAGAGAGAGAGTGATAGAAAAGACACCGGTGTCCTGCTCTGACCTCCACGTGCCAGGTGCATGCCCCCCCCACACACACACACTGTCCTAAACTGGGCGTGGTGGTTCACACTTATTAACCCAGAGCTCTGACGGCTGAGACAGGAATATCGTCACAAGTTAAGGGCCCACCCAGGCTATTCAGGGCTACACAGTGAGACCCCCATCTCAAACAACACACGCCAGCTTCCTGTGGATTCCTCCCCACCTCAGAGGCCACGCAGGAAGCAGCTCTAGGAGGTCAGTGTGGCTAGACAGAAAAGCCTCAAGTTGCTGAAGACACTGTAGCTACTCGGTAGCCGCTGAGGAGGGGTGAGTCGCTGACACAGAAACTGTCTGCGTGTATTAGCTTTTTGATGCCCGCATTCTGGAGGCGCTCTGCCGTCCCCCTTCTTACTCCAGATCCTCCCCAGTCCATGAGACGGTGCTGCCTACATCAGGCTCTCCCCGCCCTCACTTCATCCACTCTGCCACCTCCCTCTCTGAAGTCCAAGGAAGCTGATATTAGTAAGGCGCTCCCAGGTTAGAGTCACACAAGAATGGCTCTGGAGGATGGGAGACATCAAGGCATCAGGCTGGAGACTGGGATGGCCTGGGGTCAGCGTCAGGGAACCTGGTTGCCTTTCCCAGGAAAAGCCCCAATCTTTAGAGGACAGAAAATTTGCTTCAGCCAAAGCTGGGGTCCTTGGAGGATGCCACCTCTGCAGAGTGCTAGAGCAAACACCTTGGGCTTGGAAGTGCATCCCGAAGCCTGTTTGGGTTGGGTGAAAAAAAGGCTTTGGAGGTGCTTAGCAGGTTGGAAGCAGGCTCTTTTCTACCCCCAGCTTGGAGGAGAATCAGGAAACAGGATGCAGGAAGTCAGCAGGGAGGATGTTCTTCAAAGCATTCTCTGTTCCCCCATCTCACAGCCTTCCATATCTGGTCAGGCCTATGTTGACATCTGTGATATGCCATGGTCATATTATGAGGTCTACAGGCTTAATCCTATTTAACCATTAAAAGAATCCCATTAAGGTTATTAAACTCTCCTTGTCGACGATGATACTGAAGTTGGGAGGGGCGGGTGATGATGGAGTTAAGTTCTGGTAAAGAATAGACCTGGATTATCAGAAAGCCTTTAAGAAGAAAGGAGAAAAAATGGGCTCAAGACGCAGACAAGATACAGGGGAGTTGACACTTTTGTGTGGACCCTAAAATAACCAAGTTCTTCAAGGAAGAGAGAGGAATGTGGCTGTCAGGGATCGGAGATGATAGGGAACTGGGGGCTGGGAAGCTAGTTCAGCCTGAATAGTATTTGCCACACAGGAAGTCCTGCTCTCCAGCTCTAGAGCCCTTGAAGAAGCCCCAGTGTGGTGGCCTGAGCTTGTAATCCCAGGGTTGGGGAGGCAGAGGCCAGAAGAACCCTGGGATTCTCTGAGTAGACAGCCTAGACTAATCAGGGAGTCCCAATCCCCATAATAGATCTGGTCTCTAATAATAATAATAATAATAATAATAATAATAATAATAATAATAATAATAAAATAACAAATAATCATCGTCATCGTAACAATAATAATAAACAAGCTGGGCAATTACTCAGGAACAATGCCCAGGGTTGACTCCTGATCTGCACATGCTTGTGCACACATATGATCCTACCCACATGAACACACACACACACACACCATACACACACGCACACACACCATACAATCTGATTAGCCAGAAAAATTGAAAAGAGGTACCATGGGATTTGAACCCAGGTAACTCTACCTCTGAAGCCCCAGACCTTCCTGCTGGGTAAGGGGAGCTCAGATCACAGCTTTCACACACTGCCCTCGCTCTTCCCAGCCTTACAAACTCCCATTTCTGCGCCATCACCAGCTGAGGGCTTCTTCTCCCTCTGAGATGGGCTCACTTTTAATAAAAAGTCAAATTCTTGCCCCTGAGAGAGACCCCTGTGAGGGAAACAAACCCCAGGAGGCTAACTCTGGGCCCCCTAACCAGGTAAGGCCACTTCACTTGCCCTGGGGCCCAAATGTTAAGGCAGCTCTTAATGGGAAGGGAAAAGCAGTTAGGACCTCCTGGCCCTAGGGCTGTCTGGGGTAGTTAACACTCACCGGGGAGTCATTCAGATGCAAATGAGGGCCCGAGGGAATCTCCTTAACCTTTCCCCACTGACTTGGGAATTCAGCACTCTGGCGAGAGACCTTAATCAAGTCTACTCACACCTCTAGGCCTCAGTTTCTCCAAGTACAAGGTCGTCCTTCTGGGCCAACAGGAAGGTCTTTGGGCTCTGATGTCTGTGCAACTTGCCTTTAAGTGTTTACAACTGTCAGGATGCCATTATGAAGGGCCGGTGACTGCAGGGTATCATCACACCGTGACCCAGCTGCTGGATACTCTTTTCACGCCCCTTTCCCTACACGGAAACAGGGTCTGAGAAGCCAGTCATCAGCTCCCATTCCGACAGTGGAAAGCTTCAGAATTTGAACACAGGTCCCACGCCATGGTTGTACCGCAGGTGCTCACAGGCTGGCACACAGCAAATGGTTAAACAGAATTGGCCCCTCGCCAGCAGTGGGAGGAGCCATGGGATGGGGTGGGGACCCACAGCAAGGCTTTGTCTTCTTGCTTCTTTAAGCCTGGCTTGGCGACTGTCCAAGCCCTTCTACAGCACCTGTGTTAATCTTCAGAGTTCCGATTTGGCATGGTGGCTCTGGGTGGATGTGGCTCACAGGGCCTCCGGCTTCTGATGACAGGAAATGACTCCCAGGGCCCCCGGGGGAGAGTCCTGATCGCCACTCCCTGCCTGTGCAATAGGCAGAGCTAGTCTGGCCTGTGGAAAGGTCTCTGGTCCCTAAGGTCCTGGCTCCTCTGCTCTTCCTCCCATGGATGGTGCAGAGAGGACATGAGAACATGCTGGTTGGAGTTTCAGTTGCATCCATCTGCTGGTGGGAACTGTGCAGCCATAGGCAAACGCTCTCTCATCTCTGAGTCTCAATATCCTTGTCTGTAAATGGGCCAGGGGTGGGGGGTGCAGTAGTGGAACCTTCTTGGCAGGATTCTTAGCAACTGAATGTGAAAGACAGATAGATATGACACCTGGAACATTGAAAGTGTTGGGGGAGGGCTTTTACGCATCCCAGTGAGACCATTAACGCACCACCATGGTTTGCTTTCAAGTTTGTGAAGAAATCATATACTGTGTAGCCCCACTCGCTCCAAATAACAAAGAAAAAAAATGTTTTCATCCTTAGAACTGGGCTTGGTGATGGGTGCCTACAGTCACAGCCCTGAGGAGGCCCGGGAGTTCAAGGTCATAAGGCCAGCCTGGCCTGTGTGAGACCCTGTCCCCTTCCACCTCCCAAATCTTGTGAGAAGTAGAATCAGATTTGAGAACAGAAGTCTCATCTTTGACGCTGAGTCATCGAGCCTGTCTGACTCACCCCGAGTCTGAGAAACAGGCTTGAGCCCATGTCATTCACTCTTCTAAAAGATGACAACATGGGACTTGAGTTCAGATCCGGACAGCCTTATAAAAGCCCAGCGTGATAGCGCATGCCTGTAAGCAGAGGTGGAAAAATGGGGACAGGTGAATCCCAGGAGCTCGGAGGCTGGTTAGCCTCATCAAATCGATGAACCCCAAACAATAAGACGGCGAGCAATAGGAGAAGCCCTGGCCGTCACACACACACAACGTGCCTGTGTACTCCGATGCACACACCACTGCAAACGCGTGCGTGTACAAACACACACAGGCATACATGCAAAAGAATACTTTCTTTCCAACAAATGCAACTGTTTCAGCTACATGGAAAACAACAAATGGGTAAGATCTTGTGCTTTGCTCTCCTAGGCTTCCCGCAGAAGTGGATCCAGTGACAGTATTTGCTTCACTTTCCCCGGAGGGTCTGCTCATCATCGAAGCTCCCCAAGTCCCTCCTTACTCAACCTTTGGAGAGAGCAGCTTCAACCACGAGCTTCCTCAAGACAACCCGGAAGTCACCTGTTCCTAAGACCTGGGCTTCGGTCCTTCCTTGTACCTGTCCCCAGTCCCAGGGAGTCTCTGGTTTGGAGGGTACATACACTACTTTAGCAGAACTCAGATGTTGGGGGATGGGAGGGAGACGAGAATGACCACAGAGTCCCTGGATAACGTAGTAGTAACAGATTTCTCCACAGGGTGACACATTGGGCGAGCCTTGCTTGGTTGCATTAGGTCAAACTATTGGGAGGATGTCCCCTCATCTTGCCTGATTGAAGACGCCAAATGGCCTATAGTTGCAAAACAAGCGGAGGGGGACTGAATACTTCATGTTGCATCGTTGCCTTGCAGCTAATGCAAGGGTTGCTTTTCTCTGGGGACTGCCCTACCATCTAAATCCCTGCTCTGGGCCTTCCTGATGTGTGGCTTGGTTGATGGGGCTTCCTGGCTCACACCAGTGTGTTTCTAAACTCTTTGTCTAAGAGAATTCATAGGTAGGTCTAATAGCCCCATATGGGATTTATCAGCCACACAAAACAGTGCCTTTTCCCACTTACCCAGGTATATACGGCATGAACCCGTGGCTCTCAAACTGTCCCCGTCAAGGACTCTGGGGACCCCTCAGTTGATTCTCTGACTAAGGTTTCCCTTTATTGTGTCCCCTGTGTCTGAGTCAGATTTTTACCGAGAGCTGTCTCCAAGCAGCTCTACCAGGAACCAAGCAAAGGCCAGACAGCCTGGCACGCAGGCTAGTGGTACCATGTATGTGGTGGGGTGGGGGGGCTGGGGTGTGTGTGTCTTTGTTGTGTGAATTGTGCTGTTGTTTAGGGGGAAAACAATAGTAAATAATAATAATGCCAATAAAGGAGCTGATGTTCGTAGCATATTGTACTTCATTTTATGAGAAACTAAATGCTCTATCGTGACGATACATGCTATCAGGAGTATAGGACTTCAAGTTGTGGCTCCTGCATGAAGAATGGGGTAGACGGCATAAATACTCTCAGCCAGCTCTACAGGAAGTTTAGGTGGGAGTTTGCAGAGCTGGCCCTTCAGTTCGAGTTCCCGTATTCAGACTCTGTCCACTGTGAAGACTCTACACAGCTACAGTCTGTCCTCATGGTTGCAATAAGGCTGGACCTACTACAAGTATCTCATCCTCCTGTGACAGTTTGGGGGAGGAGACGGCCAAGGGTGAAAGACTTTCCTGTGTGGCCTCTCATTTCCCAGAAGCCCAGCAAACACCTCCTTTGATGTCCTTGGCCTAAAACTGGGTTGTATGTCCGTCCAGACACCAATTTCTGGCCCAAGAGAATGGGATGATGTCAGAGTTGCTTTTCTGGTTGCTGTGATAAATTCTCCTGACAAAAGTGACTTAAGGAAGAAAAGGTTTGCTTTGGCTCACAGTTGAAGGGTGTGGTCCAAGCATCTCCTCCTTCTCACCCCCCCCCCTCAGTTAAGTTTGATTGGTGTATTACTATAGTAACAGAAATCAAGCTAGGCTAGTGGCTGAATCCTTACCAGACGTTACACACCCCATCTGGGCTAACTGATTTCATATGTTTAATCACACTAGGATCCTATGAGTCAGGTCCAGGTCTTTTCTCCTCCACTACAGATGGGGAAACTGAGGCTTAGAAAGATTGAAATGTGTCGTCCAAATCACACACCTGGTAAGCAATAGCCTCAGGTGGCCTGGACCTTCACCCTCAGCCATTACACTTACATTCTCCGTTCTCCCAGCAAAGCAAAATCGAAGTTGTAGTTAAGCAAGTTTGTCCATTGCTTGGAAAGGAGAGGCAGCGTTGCAAGATGGGGCTTTGTGTGGCTGACCAGAGGAGTTGGTCACGTCAGGGTTGGTGATGAGGCACAGTTTTAAGACCTGAAAAAACAGGGAGCCGTGTGAAGTGCCCGAAGGAGAAGAAAACTCATGAGCGGAAGAGAAATGCATGCTGCTGCTGTCCAACTCCCGTGTTCTCACAAGATTGCCAAATGCCTCTTATATCCATCCATCCATCCATCCACCTACCCACCCATCCACCCACCCACCCATCCACCCACCCATCCATCCATCCACCCACCCATCCATCCATCCATCCATCCACCTACCCATCCATCCACCCATCCACCCACCCACCCATCCACCCACCCATCCATCCATCCACCCATCCACCCACCCATCCATCCACCCATCCACCCACCCACCCATCCACCCATCCATCCACCCATCCACCCACCCACCCACCCACCCATCCACCCATCCATCCATCCACCCACCCATCCATCCATCCATCCATCCACCCAACCATCCACCCATCCATCCACCCATCCATCCACCCATCCATCCATCCATCCATCTATCCATCCATCCATCCATCCATCCACCCATCCACCCACCCATCCATCCACCCATCCACCCATCCATCCACCCATCCACCCACCTATCCATCCATCATCTTTCTATCTATACCTCCCACCTGCACACACACACACCCTTCTCCCCCATAAGCTGATTCCCCACTTTCCTCCTCCACCCTGCTTCTCTTCCTTCTTCAATACAGACTTTCCCTTTAGGCTACCAGGACCTTGATCACAGACATCTCTGTCTCCTTCAAGAATGACTCCCCGATCCCATTCTTCAGTTAATTCTTTAGGATCTCAGCTGAGCCTTTCATGCTGGCCAGAGCCTGTCACTTACACAGAGCCCTACCTAACACAGTAAAGCCTACTACACTAGGTTAGGTGCTCAGGCACGGGGTCAGAGGTTTGCCTGCTAGGCAACTCTCGGCCCTGTCAAGTTGACCATCAGTATGAGTCATCACACTGACCCTTCACTTGGATCACTTGGATGATGTTGGGACAAGGGATGCCTAGAGCCCATTCCTTCCTTCTTCCCTATCCCAGCTTCTAGGACATCTGAACCACACAGTACCTCCACCCTCCCAGCTGCCTTCTAGCCAGCTGGCTTGCTGCTGATGGTGATACATGGAGATGGCTTGATTTGACCTTGAAGGCAAGAAGCAAATTAATGTGTCTCAAAATAAATTCCCAGAATCAGTGGCTGACTTCTCCAACCCCTCCCTCTGGTGTCTTGTGAGCTATGCATCATAATTTGAAAATCAATACTGTCTCCTAAATGAGCCAACACCTGGAGCTAGCTGCCTGGAGGTCCCCTCCCTCCCAGTGTCTTAGACTTAGGAGTTGTTAGAAGCAGTGAGTACTTCAAGGCCTGTTGTTGGCTTTGCTCTCTGACTGCTGAGGGTTGGCCAGGCCCCTCATCTACAGGGAGGCCAACCCACCTGCTCTCCATCCCCAGCTCAACCCAACAGCTTCCCGAGTACAAGGTGTGAACTCCAGAAGGGAAAGGAAAGGGTAGCTGCATGGGCAGTGTCTCCAAAGGTTGGGGGAGCTGGATTCAGTTAACATATATGCACTAAGCTCTTGTGCTCAGTGCTAAATTCAATTGTGTCGCCTGGACACAAAGACAACACATGTCCCAATCCTTCAAGATTTGTTGTTTTAGCCCTTCTGTATCCCTGGGTTCAGTTCACTGCCTGGGCTCTAAGGTTTCTGTTTGAGTTAAGCATGTCTTTCTATTATGATGCTTTGTCAGTTTGGAGCCCAGCTAACCCTTGAGATGGTCTACCCAGAGCTACCAATGAATGGGCCTTTTATATGCAGAGTCCCTGTGGCCTCATCTTTTGTGCTCTGACACCGGGTCCACTGCCAGTCACAGAGTGAGGTACCAGACACCCAGGGACCGTCCCTGTCCTTCTATGCCTGCCAAGATTGTTTTGCTGGTCAATCCTGAGTCTATTTCCTTTCTTCCCTGTTCCTTCCTGTGAAACCCACACTTAAATGCTTGCTCCCCTGGCTTCCCGTCCCCTGATCAACCCTTGTGCCTTCTTGCATTGTCCCTGTGGCTCAGAATGTCCTCCTTCATGGAATCTGTGAGTATAACAAGCTAGCTTTTGAAAGCCAATTGTCCCAATGCCTAATTAATAAAATCTATATATGTAAACAGCTTCCACTTCTCAACCCAAATCCTCATCAGAACCGGCAGGAGGCCCTTGGGGGGTAATGGCCACTATGAATAGTTGGTGTTCTGGCTCTCTGCATCAAAGGCTTTGAAACACCTACCACTACCAGCAGCAGCAGCAGCAGGAGCAGCAGCAGCAGCAGCAGAGGCATCACCACCACTCCTCCTACTACAATGCGTCAGGCACAGCGTTGAAGTCCAGGCAAGACAGATGGGGGTCTCTGCTTTGCCCGTTTCTCCCCTCTTGAATACTACAAGGTTTCATGAAATGAGTAAACAAAGACACATAGCAGGCTTTGAGGCAGACTAATGTGAGGTTGCAAACTTTCTCAGGTTCTGACCCTGATTTTTCCACTTGCTGCTAGGTATGACCCTGACCCTCAACCTCTGGAGTTTATTTCTTCATCTGTCTCAGTTTTACTTCTGTTGCTGTGTTCCCTCGGGGCTTATTTTAGCTCACAATCCAGGTTGTAGCCCATCACTGTGGGGAAGCCACAGAGATGGGAGCTTGCCGACGCTGGTCATGTCACACTCACAGGCAGGCACCACAAGAGAGAAATGAATACATGTGTGCTCACTTGCTTTCCTATATATATGGCCATCTTAGTTCCTCCACTCGTATGTAATTCAGGACCACCTGCGTAGAGAATGGTGGTGCCCACAGTGAGCGGGGGCTTCCCACACTAATAAACTTAAGACAACCCCCTACAGATGTGCCCAGAGCTGATTCGGTGTAAATAATTTAATTCCTTGTTGAGGCTCTCTTTCTAGGTGAGTCTAGGCTCTGTCAAGTATGCAATTAAGGCTGACCAAATGTAGGTCATGTGTGTACAAAGTGTTCAGCCCACAGGTGCTGAATAAATAAGCCAATAATAAAGGCATTCTACATTGATGGGCTTGACTGTGCTGGAAACAGACTGTCTCCTTCTAGAGAGGCAAAACCCTGGATCTTCCAGGGACCAGTGATATCTTACTGAGTCAGTGGCCTCCAGAGGCTGTACATGGAGTTGACATTTGGTGCATGTCGTCATCCCCACAGTCTGTCTCTGAGAGAATAAGGGTAAGAAACACTAGGTGAGTCTCCTAGTCTTCATTGTCAGAGGTTTAGCATTGACTTTGACACCACCACATCCCCACTGTCTTAGTTAACTTATCCCCAATCCCTGCCCAGGAACAGACCCTCAGTTGGGTAGACTAGGACAAATCAGCAGATACTGCTTGGAGATCTCAATTGTGTACATTTCTGGAAAGAGAAAGATGGCGCCATTGATGAGTAGAACTTAGCAAAGAACACCATGTAAGATTCACTCTCTTGCCAAAACAATAAAGAGGGTTTTCTTCATCCATTCAGGCTCCAGCAACAGAATTTGTAAATTACAGAAATGTTCTTTCTCAGAACCCAGAGTCCAAGGTCAAATGAGAGGCAGATTAGGTATTTGCAAGGGCTCACTCACTGCTCCATAGAGGGCAGCTTCTCGCAGTGTCCCTCCCTACTTGGCTGTAGAGGGAGAGGAACTCTCTAAGGCTTTATCTCTATCTCTGAGAGCTCCAGCCTCATGGCCTTAGTCATCCCCAATTGGCTTCACCTCTATTGCCATCACTGCAGGGATTAAATGTTAATCTATGAGTTTGGAGGTAGGGGACACTAAGAAGGCAGCGGCAAGGGTTCCTTTAAAATAGATCGGAGCAGAAGGAAAGGCAAAGGGGTAGCAGCTGGAAGCTCATGAAGAAACTTCTTCCACAAAGATTAAAGACCCAAGGAGAACCCCTGGGCCATTCTGCTTGGCTGAAGTCTTGTCTAGCCTCACTGTGTGGTGGCCAGTCTTGAACGCAAGGGTCCAGG